AGAGAGACCTCACATGAGATGGATCAATTCAACAAAAGAAAGCCACAGCCTTTAGTATGGAAGACTTGAGCAAGGAGACCTATGGTAGGTCATAGAATCCCCAAAAGTCAGAAATGGTTTGATACCACACAACAGCAATTCTGTTTGTGTGTGTGTGTGTGTTTGTGTGTGTGTATGTGTGCGTGTGTGCGCACGCACACACACATGCACAGATTTGCATATATGTCTATCCATAAAGAGAGAGGGAGGAAATAATGTAATTTTTATATTTGCTGACTTAAAAATTTTTGTAGTCACAATTTTAAATTAAAGTGCATGCAGGGTAATGCATACGGTATAACAAAAATAAAAATATTATAAACACTAAATAGTAATAGAACTCCAACAGAATGACAGAAAAGTAGGAAAAAATGATTTTGCCATAATCTACCAACTGATTCCCGCTCCACTCCCCATCTCTGCCCCACCCACTAACACTTTGCTATTCGTGCAGTTTAAAACCAAGCTGATATTAGTTTATATGTTTGTCTGTTGTTAGCCACCCATTTTTTTAGCTTACCACTTGTTGAGTGGATTATGAATATAATTAATAACTAAATAAATATAAATTAATATCTAGAGGGGTATGTGTATGCATGAACATCATTTCTGTATGTTCATTCTTGTGGCTCTTCTCCCAATATCTGCAGAATGAGGTGTGGCTTTCTTAACCCCACCTGTGGGATGTTTTCCCCATGGATGCTCAGCCTCACTGGTCCTGTCCCAGCATCAAGTGAAGATGCCTCATTTTTCCAGGCTTTTTAAAAAAAAACCTTGTAATAACATAACCCTGAATTTTCATTAGTTTTATTTGGATCAATTGTTATTTCATTTTTTCATGGTAGCTTTTTAAAGTGTTATTTTAAGGTGTCCTGGGAAACAATATTCATGACATGAATTCGTAAATAGCAAACAAAGGATTCTATACTGCTCTTGTTTTAATTGCATTTTATTCATGATGCAATGCTATTTGTCAGAATTAGTAGCATTCCTATTTACTGAGGCTATGTCATCTTTTGCAATTTGTTCAATGACAATGGCAAACAAACCAACCCCTGAAGGCAGACAATGAGCTTTTAAAAGTCACACTTCCCTCACCAGATCACCACCTATTTGGTTATGTGCCCCTGAGGCTGAACACTTTTCAGAGTTAATCATAGTCTGGGTTTTTAAACTGGTTATCTACCCAATTTAGTTAAGCAGGGCATAATCTAATTAGGAGAGATGAAAAACAAAGGTAGAGGATGCTTTGCTATATGTATCCCCCCATTCCTCTTTTCCAGCCCCACCCACCTTATCTCATCCAAATCATGACTAAGCTTTACTCCTAGAAGCAATCATGTTCTGTTGTTTTTAAATATAACAGTGCTTTATTTAACATATGTGACAACCCCTGACCACACAGAAAAGGGAACAGGAGCATGATATGCATTTCCATGGTCTATAGTCAAAAGAAATGTAGCATCTTCCTTTTTTTACAGTGGCCAATATCTTGTTGCACTAGAGTAGGTCTATGACATCAACAGGGGTTTGGTGAGTCAACTGCTCCATACATTCCAGTGATTCAAGTGGGCATACTCTAAGTGTGACATACTATGCTGAAGAAAGTTGCAGTTAGAGTAGGCTGATTTGAATCAATAGAACATATGGAGGAGTTGACTCCTCATTGATTCAGGAGGCCCAGTCTAGTGCATTTTACTACGCTAAACAACAGGGTTTTGGCCATTGTATTCAAATGTTGTGAAATTTCATATTATAATATTTTAATTATCAGCAGCTTGAAGCATTTAGACTATAAAAAATTTGTAAGCTTTGTAAATGAAATACTGTAACATGCATAGATCTGCACATAACAAATCTGGAAGTTTTTCTGCTGATTTAAATTAAATACTTGATGTAGAATTGCCTTGCTTTGCCAGAACATGCTGATCATTTCATGTTGCATAGTCTTTGTGAAAACATTTTTTTTAAACTTGTACCAGTTTGCAAGTAAGCGATCAAAAACAAATATTATAAGGTTTTGTTATACTAATTTATTAAATGTATGCAGTCAGGGTCAGATCCTGAGTACCATGTGAAAATATTCACTGGTTTAAATTGTTTGAAAAGGAATGTAGAAAATGTTAAACTGTACTGTGGTTGCTTAATGCTTTACTGAAAGTATTGTAGTATCATAAATAAATATTGGGTACCATCCAGCCAAAAAAATTAATCAGCTAAATATGAAAGAATATCATTGCGATATGTTTTAAATGGTTTCTTGTCAGATTCGCAGTTGATTGTTGCTGGATTGTGCAAATTGTTTCCAAGTTTATTGAATTTATAGGTATCCTGAATTTCAGTGTGTTCTAACACTGTTGGCCATAAACAGTTTTAAGAATGAGCATATTTGGAAGACCATTTAGCAGCCATTTTAAAGTTTAAAAAATATAGGGCTTACAGAAGTGGTGGCTTTTGCTCTTTTCCAGACCACGACCCATCTGCAGTTATATCATTTTTCAGACGTAGAAAAAGAATAGAAATTATTATTTATTTTTATTTATTTATTTAGTCGATTTTTACCCCGCCCCTCTAGACAACGTTTATTATTAGTATTTCTCCTGTATAAAGATTTATGTGCTGCTGTTCATTTAATTATATTTTCTTTATGTTACAATGTTAGTTATGGTGCAACCACCAAAACATTTGGCAGTTAAACTGTGTGTGTGTGTGTGTGTGATCACCAAAACATTTGGCAGTTAAACTGTGTATGTGTGAAAGAGAGAGAGAGAGAGAGAAGAGATGGAATATAATGGCATATGAATCTGTGGTTAAAAAGCACTTTTCTAATGCTGTTAAACGTCAGTCAATGAAGAACTTTTAATATACTATATGTTTAGCTAGGAATGTAATTTCCATTTTTGTCATGAAAAGAAGCCTCCTAATTAAGTGGAAGAGAAAGATGAAGAATATTGATAGTTTGATTCTTAGATAATAGCTATTTGTCTTTTACATATACGTTGCTTCCAAGAGACCAAAGGTTAAGAATTATTCCTAGAAAATCATCAAATAATTTTGTAGAAAGCAAGGTGGAAATATAACTTTGTCACATTTGGTGAAGCTTCATTATCGATAATTGTAGATAAGAATATAGCTTTTTGGAATGGATTTTTACTATGTGAAATTGTAAGGGTATAGATTACCATTTTGCTTTTAAAAAGTGTTGTAATACTTGTGCAAAACAGCAGATTTATGATGTAGCTGGAATTCCTTGTCTGTGATGAATCTAAAACAGATCAATTGCTACAGGAAATTTTATAACCCCTTCACCTTCACTTCACATCTTTATGGCGACTGGCTTCACTTTTGATCTATGGGCTGCAGTTGTAAAGCTCTTCACTGTACAATTATTTCTGATGTATGGTTGCCTCATCTTAGTTCCAAACTCTGCTGAAGAGTTTCATAAATGATTTGTTTATAATACAGAATTTTTTGCTGTATAAGAGTCATCCACTTACCCCAACTAAAGTCCAGCTCTGCAAAGTATCCTGGAATGTTAATTCTTCCAAATAATTCCCACAGAGCTAGTAAAGGGGGATAGATACTGTATATATTCAGTTTATCCCAAAACAATTTGGGATGGGGGTGGGTGATGGCATTTCCTGAACTCAAAGCTTGGAAATAACTAGCTGACAAGCAGTGTAGTTACTGCAACAAGTTTCTTTTGGAACAATGAGAAATATAAACAGCGGTTATAAAGTTATAGCAAAAGTAATATAACAAATAGTTCTGAAGTTACTTTTTAGATGTAATGAGTAAAATGTTTTAGTTATTTTCTTAAGCTATATTCTAAAGACATTTCAACGGACATTTTAAAGATTTATTCCAAGTTTTATGCCATTCTCTTATCAATTCAAGCCGGTGAGGGAAGTATTGTTTAGTTTTTTGTTTTGTAGTTTTGTAAATATTTGGAAGGTGTAATATCAGAACTGACCACTAGAAGGAACCAGAGAGTATTTATCTGTATTTTTAAGGTCTGTTGATGATACAACCTCATAATAATGTGCAATGCAGCAAAGTACATGCATGATTGGAGTACAGTAATAATAATAACAAATACAACCAGGCAACTGAGCAGTAATGAGTAACACAACGGCCAAAATCTTGTTGCGTTGCATAAGTCAAATTATAAGTTTTGATTTCTTTCTTCTTGGTAAGCATAACAACTCTAATGTGCTCCTTGGGCAATGCATGTGCACGTACGCACCAAGCCAGCTTGTGTCCGTACTGATGAGAATTGTGGCAGGTATGGTTTGTTTACCACAGATGAACAGACTGAAAGGTATAATTTGGCTTGCTCTAAGCAACAGGATTTCTGCCAGTAAGTTCAATTTTTTTTTAAAAAAAGTATTAAGTTCTGTTGAAACCATAATGATTCCAAACAATAAGTTTTCTTTAAACAAAGGAATTGCCCTGTTTAAATGTTTTGTTACTTAATGGGAATAGCATTTAAATTAATTGACTGGCTAGTACACTGGGACATTAACAAGGTGTGGAGAGAGGTAAAGTCTGATATATACAGAAGAATCCAGATTCAGTGTGCCAGCATAATAGGAAAAAAAATTCAGTTGAAACCTTGTAGCATTTCTGAGATGTTTCATAATAATTTTTTTTCCTGTAAGAAATACTGTACAAATCTAAGCAGAATTTGTACAATTGCTGCACAAAACATCTTTCCTGCTAAAGACTCCTTGGAAAACATATTGAGCTGTGCAGAATTTGGTAGTTTCTTGAGCAAAAGAACAAGCAGAAATCAGGAGTCGCTTTTTGCAGGAAGCCAGGAAATCTTACTGGTGCATAACAAAGTTTCACTGAGGCCTATTGGCATGACAAGTCTCAGAAAATCACTTGAGAATGAGAAATATTTTTAACACTCGTTATATCCATGGTGGTTGTTGTATTTAATTCCCATTGGACTCAAAGTGAAAAAGTTAGTCATCACTCAACTGAAGCTACATTTCTTGCAGTGGGAAAAGTCTGAATCCAACTATACTGTACTTTGTGACTACACATATTAACCTTTACTTTTAGAATTGATGTTGTGTCTTTTGACAAAGATGTGTTGAAGTCTCTTGGCACATTCAGCTATTGTGAACTTTTGAGGCTTCATATTTTCTTTTCTACTTGTTAATTATGTTTTCTCTTGTTTTTATTTTATTTTCCTAGCCAGTATGCTGCCATATATTTTCGTATAGTTACTTGGTGGGGGAAGTCAAAGCATTTATAACTTTCCAGTGTTGTCTTTGTCTGACTGTTCTGTGTTTCCTTGTGTTTGCCTCTAGCCTTCTGCAAGACGACTGGGTTTGTCTTGTGCCAACTGTCGCACTACAAACACCACCCTATGGCGCAGGAATGCAGAAGGAGAACCCGTATGCAATGCCTGTGGCCTGTACATGAAACTTCATGGGGTAAGCAGCTACTTGAATATTATCAGGAGCTATTTTGGTCTTGCTTGATAGATATTTGAGGGGCACTCTATCCTGCAAGTATTCCTCAGATGGAATGTGCATTAAGTTTCATCGGAGAGGAGGTCCATGTCTAATTTTGCTGGAGAGAACAGAGGAGAACAAGGACATTTTTATTTTTCTTGATTGGCATATATGCAATGGTGTTTAGTTGCTGCACAGCTTGTAAAAGTTGCTTTTCAAGGCTACAGTTCCTGGAATCCAGTAGCCATGGTCTCTGGGTGATTTGGGAAACTGCAGTCCAAAAAGTAGTTCTTCAAAGTTTTGCTAAACAACAACAACAATTCTAGAACTGCAGAACTGGAAGGGACCCTATGGATCATCAAGTCCAGCCCCTGTCAAGGAGATGCAGCGGGGAATCGAACTACCGAACCTGTGGCTCCACAGCCAGGTGCCTAAATCACAGGGGAGGATATCAGCAAATAAATCAATATTTTTGCATAGTTTCTTTATTCGTTATATTTGTGTGCTGCCTCTCTTATAATGAGCTGAAATACACAATTCTTCTTGGCCCCGTTTTAGTCAGGCAACAGCCCTATCAAGTAGTCTGCCTGAAACAGAGTGACTGCTCCAAGTTCAGTGAGTTACAGAATCTGGAGACTACAACCTGGATCCTTCACTTCCTAGTCCTACATGCTAACAGTTAACATCACACTGTCTTTCAATGTCAAAGCCCCTCATGAATGTTACATACACTTGGGAGAAAGAGCAGCCTTCACAATGAGAACAGCCGTCACAATGAAGTATTGTTTACTACCAGAGGTGGTCTACACCCCTAGCAGTGAGACGTCTTCCTCACAAATTGTTTCTTGTTGTAATAATCAGCCAGTCTTCTTGGAACATTCTAACTATAAAACTAGCTTCCCCTACTAACAGCAGACAAATGAAAAAGGATAACAAGAGAGCACAGAGCTGCTCTTTAGTTGTCCATTTTAAAAAATCATTTATTGACAACAAATTTTTGCAAGCTGATACACCAGAGCAAAGAGTGGAGAAGGTTGTTATTCTGATGACACACATGCAGAATTCCCAAAGATCAAGAGTAGTATTGGAAAGAATTTAAGACATAAGACATAAGAAATTTATTTGTCATTGCGCTCACAAGTGGGTACAACGAAATGAGGTGCTCTTCCCCAAGGTAAAAATGGACAACACTACAAAAAAAAGTTAAAATATACACAACTTTCACCATCCAAATATAGATACCCCGTTTTCTCTCAGCAATTAAAATCCACCAAAAACCTATGGCCCCGCATTTAAACTCAATACTGCACTTGGGTAAAAACTGTTCTTGAATCTGCTTGTCCTTGCTTTCAATACCCTGAATCTCCTTCCTGATGGTAATAGTTTAAAGAGCTGATATCCCGGATGAGAGGAGTCTTTCAGTATGTTAGATATCTTCCTCTTACATCTGTTCTTATACAATTCTGTTACCTGTTAATTAGATGAAATGTGAGTGCATTAAGGCTCACACACTCCCTGTCTCTCCAATTTTACCCCAAAGGTGATAAATATTCTCTGAGTTCTTATATTAAATTGCTTATCAGGCATGTTGAAGTCACTGGGGAGAGCCCATATACTTACAAAAAACTGGAACACGTGGTCTTCCACATCAGTGGAAGGTGCAGTTCTATATGGAAAAAGCATACCATGTATAGTGTGGGATCAATGCACCTTGCCCTTATATGCTGCCTTTGTTCCTAAAATAATCATGTAATCCAATCTGATGGTCTCTACTCTGTGTGTAACAACCCGGATAGGTTTCTTGACTCCCCCAGAGTCCTACAGAGATACTTAAACTCCCTGGGCAAAGATTAGAAGCTTGTTGTTCATCAAGCTGGCATTTATCCCAGTTAAGATTAATTCCGGATGGAAATCAAATAATCACAGACAATCATATTATTGTCCATCTAAGTATCAAAGTATAAACCGTTTCATTGTTTATACTCACTTTGTCTATCTATCAAGCTTTATTGATCTAATTCTAGGTTCAAAAAGTCAAGTTATTGAAAACATAATTTTTTGAGAAGTCATAGATTTGTTGCTTTTAAAAAGCCATCCTTACAGCTATGAATAAAGCTGTAGGTACAAATGCTTAGGAGGAAAATACAGTCAAAAATATCAGAAAGAATGTTTTAAGTCACATTCTGAAATACAGGAGCTTTTACCCTATAAACAGAGAATATACGTCTTAAGGAGTAAAATTATTATAAGGTTAAAAAGCATTATTGTAAGTCTCACTTTTATATGTATATAAATTTATTAAACAAGTATCCAACCTAAACAACATAAACTGAACACCAGAATAAAATACACCAGTGCCACCATCACCCTGCGGGCTAGCATTAATAATATTTTAAATTTCAGTCTATTTTCTCTCCAAAACTTCATTGTTTCTTCCCTCGGTGTATACCCCTTCCCTCTCCAAAATACATATTCCAAGAATACACTCCATATTTTCTTAAAATCATTATTTTTTGATAGGCCTCTTCTTATTTTCATATCACGTCAGTTTATCATTAATTGCCATATCCCATAGTTCTCTATACCATTCCTCTAAATTGAGTTGCTTATCATTTTTCTAGTTTCTTGCAAAAATTAACCTTGCTGCCGTAATCATTATTACTATTAACTCCTTACTTTCTTTCAACAATTGATCCTTCTTAACCAAATTCAATAAAGCCATTGATGGGGACATTTGAATATTTAATCCAGTTATTTCCCTTATTTCTTTAAAAATTTGTTTCCATTCTTGCTTTCTTACTTCACATGACCACCACATATGTATATATGTCCCCTTTTCTTTTTTACACCTCCATCATGTGATGATAATTTTTATTATATTCAGTTTTACCGGCATTAAATACCACCTCCATATTACCTTATAACAATGTTCTTTTATCCTTACAGACTTGTTCTTCGTAATTCTTTGGTCCCACATTTTATCCTATTCTTCTCCTTTTACTTCTTTATCCAAATCATATTGCCACTGTGTTTTTAATCCTTGTGTATCCTGTTCAGCCTGAATTAATAATTTATATATTTGACTTACAGTTCCCTTTCTTTCTGTCTTTTCCTCTAATTTCAATCTTTTTTCAATAATTTCAAATTTTGTCATTTTTCTACTTTTCCCTTCCTTACTATTCCATTCCCTTGTCCATCTTTCTATTTGAATCATACTAAACCAAGAAATCCCCTCTCCTTCCAAAATCTCTTTTATATTTCCTTTATCTCTCATCTTTTCCATCCAGCCTTTTATCTTATTAATCCTTTATTTTTAATATATTCTTAAAAGGTTTTTTAAAGATTTTCTGGAAAATTATTTAAATCCACCACCTGGGATAAAGGAGTGATCAATGGTCTCAATATACCTCTAAACTTTTTCCAATTTTCTAACATATGTTTAAAGAAAGGGTTAGTGATTTTTTAAATCTCTTCTCCAATGTAAACAATAAGCTTTCAATTCTTTCTTCCTTACCCTGCATTTCTATTTCTGTCCAAATTAAATTTTTATTACCTTTAATAATATCTGGAATATGTCTGAGTTGATTTGTTGCATAATATAATTTTAAATTGGGTAATCTTTTTGTGTTACATACCATAATTTCTTATTAATCCCCCTCGTTTATTTCCGTTTCGATAACAATTTAGCAGTATCTGCCATTCTTTTAGTTGTTTTTCTGTAATCTTTATAGGAAGCATCCAAAATATAAAATTTAATTTAGAAATAATTTTCATTTTGCATAATGCCACTCTACCAAACCAAGAAATCTTTAATTTCTGATAATCTTTTATCGTTCCAATTATCTCATTCTTCAATCTATCCAGATTTACTTTAATTATATTCTGTAAATTCCAAGTACTATTAATCCCTAAATATTTAATAACATTTCCCATTTTACCTTCAAATATTGCTTTCATTCTTCTTTTCTCTTCATCTCACTTTAAAAGCATGGGAAAATATCAAAACTGATAACAGTAAAGATATATAAAGTAAACAAGCATTACTTAGCATCTAAGCATGATAAAATAAAATAAAATAAAACTGTAGTAAAAGGTAACTTTTTCTGCTTTCTGATTTCCACGCATTTTTGCATCTAGCAGAATAGACTTAATGTAGGCTGGTAATTTGCTTAAAAGGAAACCATTTCTCATTTTATTTTCTTCATGTTTTGGCATTCTTTTTTAGGTGCCCCGTCCCCTTGCTATGAAAAAAGAGGGAATTCAAACCAGGAAACGCAAACCAAAGAACATAGCTAAGACAAAGTCATGCTCGGGTAAATATATAATTATTGGAGGAGCATGGATTTAGCTTTCTGGAGAACACAGTTCTAACCGGGTGTGCTCTCATTACAGGTAATAATAGCAATAATGCTGTTCCTATGACTCCAACTTCCACGTCTTCTACGAACTCAGATGACTGTAGAAAAAACGCTTCTCCTAGTGCACAAACCACAGCCTCAGGGGTAAGTGATAATATAATACCCATGCTTGTAAACACACGTATTTCCACGGTGCCTGTTATCTCCATTTTTTTATCTTATCTAGCAGAACAGTAATCAAAATAAACTTTTCAGTTTGTTAGCTGATACTGGAGTGGGGATTTCTCAGGAAATTGCCTATAAATGCAAACACAATATAAAACTAAAGCACTTCACAAACATTTTTATTAAGATATATAGATATGTAGATTTATAGATACAAAGACAACTTCTTTCTTACTCCTACTGGTTCGTGTGGCATATCTATATTTTGCTGTCCTTTGTGGTAGACATTGGCCCTAATCCAGGTTGAGCTGACCCATGTGCCAAGCATGGTTCTTTCTACAGCAGATACTCTTCTCACATGTTGTATGAAGCAAAATCCACCAAATTTGGCAGCCACACCTGCTGGGCATACACAGATATAAACATATAGTAGCATGTGATAATTGTATTTAAAGAACACCTGCCTGTCGTCTTTCCCTTTGTTTGAATGAAGGAGTCTAGAAAATCCTTATCTGATTTATCTGGAGAGTTGAATGCATTTAGGATGAAATATATATATTTTTTCAAATATTTGTTTTATTTTAGTACCTAGTGCAATTCATAGTTTTAATGTGATATTGTCTGTGGCGTCCATTGTTGATAATGTTAATTATATACATGCAAACCAATGTAATCACACAGTGAGTTGTATATCTAGTGAAATTTCCGATACTCTTTATTTTGAATGTCCAAAATGTAGGGCTATTTACGGACTGCTAATGAAGCATAAACCATTTGCTGTAGGTTCATAATTTTCTCAGAGCTTAATTTGATACAGAAGTTGCAGCTGCAATATTGGTAACTACCTTGGAGAAGAATCACTTGCTTCTAAGTACAAAATGCTAAAATTTCCTGGCTTGTTTGCTGGAAAAGGGCATCATCAATTAGAAGCTCAATGGTTCAGGTATCTGGCTGCTGAGCCAGAGGTTGGGAGTTCAATTCCCCACAGTGCCTCCTCAACAGGGGCTGCACTTGATATCCACAGTGTTCCTTTCAGCTCTGCAGTTTTAAGATTAAGATGTTTGCTGGAAAAGGGCATCATCAATTAGAAGCTCAATGGTTCAGGTATCTGGCTGCTGAGCCAGAGGTTGGGAGTTCAATTCCCCACAGTGCCTCCTCAACAGGGGCTGCACTTGATATCCACAGGGTTCCTTTCATCTCTGCAGTTTTAAGATTAAGATAGGCTGTACATCATGTATGCATTTCCACCAGGCATTAAGCAGAAGCTGGAAAAATTAGTTTTGAAATGCCACTCTCCTAATCCCCCCAGCAAGAATAACCAGTATCCATGCTGGTGGGGCAACTCTAGGAGATCATTCAAAAATCACTTTTTCCAAATTCTGCCATTCAAACGCTTGGTAGAAAAGCGCTTCTGTATACCTAGAACCAATGTAAATAAGTTGAAAGAGTGACTCAACGTTCATTAATTCCAGTCAAATAATCTTGTAATTATATTTGCGAAGGCTTTCACGGCTGGGATCTAATGGTTGTTCTGAGTTTTTTGGGCTCTTTGGCCATGTTCTGAACATGGCCAAAGAGCCCGAAAAACCCAGAACAACCAATCTTGTAATTATTACTTAGAAATCATCACATTTTGCCATCCTTTCTTGCTTCTTTTCACTTTCCTTTGCTTTCTTGCTGGAATGTAAACTTTCACTGCCAAAGAGGAATCATATCTTCGTGTGCATGTTATTACATAGGGAAATGATTGCTGTGCCAAGGGTTTGCCTTTGACCCAGCCTTTTGGTTATGATTCCATCATGCAAGGCTAGAAAGTAATGTGCTTCTTCCCCAATATATGTTATGTTGTTTATTAAAATATTTCTATGCTACCTTTCTCCTAAAAAGAATTCAAGGTGATTTACGGTATTTAAAAAAATAAATCAGGAGCTAAAACAATATATTACAATATTTTAAAAGAATTAAATAAACCTAATATTAAAACTAGTAGAAAAAAGTAGTAAAAGCACATTAAAAACAGCAATAGAAACACAACAGGCCAATTTAAAAAAACCTTAAATGGTATATGTGGCGTAAATGTCCACATATGCCATGCTTGAGAAACCTAATTTGCCAAGAACTCTCAAAAGACATACAAAGTGGCTGAAATCTTGTTTGTAGTGCAAGCCCAAGCATAACTGACCAGCCATTCCTGGTAAACAAACCACTGCTGCTGTCTTTGTTGACGGGCATGCTCATGTACCAAGCCAGCATGCGCATGCACACACATACCCAAATCTAGCGAGTTCTGTTGTCTCTCCCAATTCTTAATGGATAAGACAGAAAGCATGGTTTCACACCACCCTGGGACGTCCTGCTGGATAAAATATGAGAGAAGGGCTCCTTCTTTTAATTTTGTGGTGTGATTGTGGCTTTTGGGGGTGTATGAGAACAAAAACTGATATGTAACAAAGTGTTATAGGAATAAGTAACCAGGAAGCCATGGTACTGATGCAATATTGTATCCTTGTGCTATTAGACTAGGCCCATTGAATCATTGGAATTTACTTAGGAGTTTACTCATCTTATTCCCTTTGATTCATTGGTTCCACTGTATTCGCAATTTATTATTGGATTTCAGCCATTATGGGATTGCAGTTCTTTTTCTTTTCTTTTTTAACACCATGATTTTTATCTTTTGCCAACTAGGAAGGTTGCAATTTGACACATTTAAAAATATAAAGGTTTTTAAAATATGAACATGTTTCCGCAACTGTTGCTTTCAGTTCACAGAAAGGTTGTTAATGAACTAGAGAAAACAAATTCCTTTACTGGTAAAGAAATGATTTATTACATCTGTGTGGACAATGGTGCCAGAAGCATTCCTAGCAATGTGGGGATTCAGCAGAATTGTGCTGTCAACAATCATTTATATCTAAATTAACTTCTCTTCCTTTGAAAAGTAAAATTTCCAGAGCCAAGATTCAAGACATAATCCACTCCGTATGCCAGCTTTCCCCCAAACTGCTGCCCCTCAGATGTGTTAGGCTACAGCTTCCATAAATCCCCTTCAGTGTGGATTGTAGAATTTGTAGTCTGATATTCATGGTGGGGGGCACCACGTTGGGGAACATGGGCCCTATGAAAATAAAACAGGATGATACACTCTTCATCATTTGCAGTTAGCTCTGTGTGCATCAGTCTTGATACACTGTCATATAATTTAGATTTATTAGTTATTTTTAGACTTTAGCTCCAGAGTCCCCTAGACAGCACAGTTGCTGATCATGGTGACTTGGAGCATGTGGGGAAATATATGACGAAAAAGTAATTTTCCAAGCACTGCATAAAATCACTGGATTGTAGATTACAAACTGTCCTGTTTAAGCAGCATTTTCATATGCTCAGTCTCAGTTTGATATTCATGTCTTTCTTGACACAAGAATAATTGTTTAACTTAGAGCTATACAAGCTGAATATTCACTGAGCTTGTTTTTTTAAATCCTTAGAATTTTCTGTGAAGTGATTTTGCAACTAGAGAAGGTGCAATAAATACTTCCCACAGAGTGGTACCCCAGTCTGATAACCATAGTACCCAAAGTTGGTCAAAAAACTTTGACATCTGAGGCACAAAATTCCACAGCTGTCTCTTCTTCCCTCTAATGGTAAAAATACAATAATAACTAACAACTATTGCATAAATTAGAAGGATTAAAAATCCATGAAGTACAGGGTTCAACGCCGGCTGTAGGTTTGCTAAACGTATCATAAAAACATTAGGTACCATCTTTTATATTTCTAGTTTTAAAAGGCTATATTTAATGTACTTCTGCTTTAGATTTCAGTGAGACTTTTTTATTTATGTGAGATTTCGTTTTGTATTCCAGAGTCAGTTAGTTAGTTTGTTCGTTCGTTCGTGCTTTTCTTTCTTTCTTTCTTTCTTTCTTTCTTTCTTTCTTTCTTTCTTAAGGAATTGACCTAAAACTGCTGACCACTGCCAAAGACCTCTACAGTGGCTATTGTCTAGAAAAGCTAAGTGCCACCCAAAAAGGACTCCTCTCTTTTTGTTTATTATAATATTTACCCCCAGCACTGAGGAGAAATCAATTGATTTTTGGATGGATTACCATATTTTCTGTCTATAAGATGCTACTTTTTCCTAAAATCATTACATTGAAAATTGAGGGGCATTTTTTCATGGAAGTAAGCTGAGATAGCTGAGGAAAGAACAAAACGGCTCCTACCTTGCCTCTGTAAACAGGCTTCCTTCAATCACAAGGCGTAGCTTCCTATAGTCAGGAGACTTAGCTTCCTCCAGTCACGAGCCTTATGGAACTGATGTCAGATGATGCTGTACAAACCAATTGGAACACACCTCTTTGGAGGTAGAACCTGTAGGCTCAGATTCAACAGGAATTCAAAATGTCCGACCGTTCTGAGCCCAGGGGCTGAATCCTGAAAGCTAAGTTTTCTTAATTTGGGGGTTAGAAAATTAGGGGGGTGTCTTATAAATGGGGATGGAAATGGAAAATGGAAAACAATGGAAAATGGATAAAATGGAAAAATATGGTATATATTTTATTTTTATTTGTATTTTAGTTGTATTTTTGCATGGCCAGCCCTAATGCAATTCAAAGTGAAGCAACTGCCCCAGGCAGTAGAATGCTGGAAGATAACAGGTTTGCTGCTTCTCCCCTTGCTCTAGAAAAGCCCCACCACCACCATGCTCTGAAGAGCTGCCACTCTACTGCTGAATAGCTCAGTGGTTTAGTGGCTCTGCAGAGCCAGAGGCTGGGAGTTTGATTCCCCACTGTGTCTCCTTAACAAGGGCTGGACTCGGTGATCCAGAGGGTGACTTCCAGCTCTGCAGTTCTAAGGCTCTTAAGCATAGCTCTCCGGAACTGCTTGCTTCCTGAACACATGGCTCTGTTCAGTCCCTAAAGCCCCAGCCATATGAGAAGAGTTGTGACTATGGCATAGGCAATTTTCCTGACTCAGAAGGTCCTCAGAGTTAGGCATTTAGGAAATAGACAACCTTAGAGCCTCCTGGCGCACTGGTTAAACTGCTGTACTGCAGCCAAAACTGTGCTCACGACCCGGGGTTCAATCCCAGGTAGCCGGCTCAAGGTTGACTCAGCCTTCTATCCTTCCGAGGTCAGTAAAATGAATACCCAGCTCGCTGGTGGGGCAATGTGTAGCCTGCATAATTAACTTGTAAACCGCCCAGAGAGTGTTTGAGGCGGTATAAAAGCAGCACACTTTATAAGCAGCACACTTTGCTTATGTTAGGCACCCTGGGGGGGGGAGAGCAAGGGAGGAGAGACTGCAGGGGGAAAGGGGGAAATAGGAGTTTGGGAGGAGACTGAAAAAAATTCAATGAAGTACTCTGATCATTCATAAAGGTTTGGGATCCAGCAGGTATTCATTTCATGTGGCAGTTTGGCTGCTTTTCCACGCCAGCTTCTTATCTCTTATCACAAGGTCAGCTCCTGGAATTTGCACTGATACTGTGTCCTGAATATTCACCAACGGTTGTCATGTATCCCAGACCCGTTGTCTGTCACCCACAGCTGCGCTCTGAGCTGTGCTTGGTGCCAGCGAGTGATAAAGCCACTCACATGTTTTCTGTGTGCCCAAAATAGGGTTTCATGCTGGATTTTTTTTTCCATTGCTTAACAGGTTTTGTTTTGTTTTTTTAAAGAAAGCCAGACAGGAAAGCCAGACTCCTGTAGCCTGGTTATAAAATGAATCCTAGCAACAAAATTCTTATAACAAAAGCAGCTGGCAGATGAAGAGCCAAAAACAATGAAGACTCCTGTAGCATCTTAAAAACTGATGTTCTTGTTACTTCTGCTTTCATATATTTCATATATATTTCATATATATATGGTTGTAAAGCAAGGGTAGGATTTAAGGTTTGGAATTAATACATTGTATAATCATTCAATAAGAATTTTAATGCATGCAAAATAAGCACTGGATGCTCATTAATAATACAATCACTTTAATGTTTATGAATAAATTAACACGTGAATTAGAAAAAGCAGTTTACATCAACAGTTTTGCATTCCAATTTTGCATTCTCAATTTACATCAGCAGTTTTGCATTCCAGTTTCTTTTGAAATTCATGTATTCCAGCATGGCAAGCTTTGCAAATTTCTTCTGCCTTTATTTCAACTTAAAATATTTTATTTATTGTTTATTTAAAATATTTTTACCCCACCTTTCTCCTTAAAAGGATCCAAGACAGCTTACAACAATTAACAATATGGCTTACCAAACACCTATGGATCATTTCTGGGAATATTACCTGTTTCCCCAAAAATAAGACAGATTCTTTTATTAATTTTTGCTCCAAAAATGCAGTAGGGCTTATTTTCAAGGGATGTTTTAAGTTTCATATATAACAATCTACATTTATTCAAAGACAGTCATGTCATCTTGTTCTGGTTAGTGCACAATGGTGGAGGGCGGGGTTTCACTCAACTGGGGCTTATTTTGGGGGTAGGGCTTATATTACGAGCACCCTGAAAAATCATACTAGGGCTTATTTTCAGCTTAGATCTTATTTTAGGGAAAACAGGGTACCAGAACTGGGAACCACTGAATATTTTGATCTGATTGCAATATTATCTTGTTCACATGAAAAATAGTCAAATGTTATTCAAACCAGTTTATTCCTCAGTGTTGCTCATACCACCATCTTTCATTCTGTAGAAAACTCTGGCAGAAGTGACTGTCTGACTCCTTTGGGGATTTTGACAGAAACACAAGCATATTTCTGTTTCCATCACTGAAAACGAATCCCCCGCTGCAGCCCCCGAGCCAGTCGAAAGTATCTTTCTGTTGTGTTAAATAAATGAATTGGAGAGGAGGATTTTCCACCTAAAATGTGGCAGGCGATTTCAGTGGTCACAATAAGTAGGGCATCCTAGCATGTTTCATTAATCTAATGGTTTGGTAATTTTAATGTAGTGTTTCTAAGAACCAAAATGATATCAGGAGTTAAAATGTTTATTGAGAAGCTGCTGGCATTTTCAGCATTTGCCACTACAAAGCATTTGTGGGTATCTGATTCAGAGACCTGAGACCATTAAATTACCAATAGTCCCTCCCCCTCTTCTTCTTGCAATTTTTATTTTCTTGTTGTTTCCTGTTAATTGGATATCATGAGTGCCCCCAACCTCTTGGATGTGTTGGTGACTTTGATTTTTACACATGGACCATTTGAATGATATCTGTAAAACAGTCTTGCTCATCCCACAGAGCAGAGCAAGAGTTCACCTCTCCCACCCCACTTGTCTCTCCTGTTCTTCCTCAGTCTTTATAAAGCCATGTGAGAGGTAAAGGTAAAGGTTCTCCTTGACAATTTTTGTCCAGTCGTGTTTGACTCTGGGGGGGGGGGGCTCATCCCCATTTCCAAGCCATAGAGCCAGCGTTTTGTCCGAAGACAATCTTCCGTGGTCACATGGCCAGTGCGACTTAGACACGGAATGCTGTTACCTTCCCACCAAAGTGGTTCCTATTGATCTACTCACATTTACATGCTTTCGAACCTCTAGGTTGGCGGGAGCTGGGACAAGCGATGGGAGCTCACTCCATTGCGTGAATTCGATCTTACAACTGCTTGGTCTTTTGACCCTGCAGCACAGGCTTCTGCGGTTTAGCCCGCAGCGCCACCACGTCCCTAAAGCCATGTGAGAACCACATGTCTAATGTCACCCTACCCAGAGTTCCTTTTTACTACATTTCCCAGAATCCTTCAGCCAGCATGGCTATGGATTCTAGCAGTTCGCAGTACTCATTTTTCTGAGCTCTGGCCCCATGCATATCATATCAAATACACATGTAAGTGTCCCCAATCAAAAATTAATTCACCCAGCAACCGACTTCAGATGCAATTCCTCTTGTGAACGCCAAGAATAGGTGGACCTGTCAGATCAAGTACAGTGGTGCCTCTCTTAACAGCGATAATCCGTTCCAGGAAAATCGCCCTTAAGCGAAAACATTGTAAAGTGAAAATAAAAACCCAATTGAAATACATTGAAACCTGTTCAATGCGTTCCAATGGGGTAAAAACTCACCGTCCAGCGAAGATCCTCCATATGGTGGCCATTTTCGCTGCCTGTATAGCGAGGAATCCGTCCCTAAACACAGCGGGGAGCCATTTTAATTACCCAGTGGCCATTTTGAAACCGCCGATCAGCTGTTTAAAAATCATCGTTTTGCGAAGAATCGGTTCCTGGGGCAGGGAACCAATCATCGCAAAGCGAAATTCCCCCATTTAGACCATTGTTTTGCAAAACGATCGTTGTAAAGCGGATTCATCATAATGCGGGGCAATCGTAAAGCAAGGCACCACTGTATATCTTTCTTTGTCCAGCTTAGCAGAAAGTAATAACCTTAGTAGTCCAGTAGAAAACCTGTGAGTTCTCCTGCAAGTTAACATTCGGTAGATACGTGCTTCAGTTAACAAAGACTGAGAGACACAGAGACGGGGAAGGTACAGGAGCCATTTGAATCCTTCGTATCTTCATTGACTCACACTGCATCCCTTAAGTCTGTCAGCTCAGTTCAATTCTGGTAGAGCTGGACTGGGGGATGAGCAAGGCAATGGACTACTGGAAGGTAATGTGGCAAATATTGTGGAGTTAAAACAGGACTCATGAAATGAACACAGATGTGCTGTACTTTTATGAACTAGAGATTGTGAGTTACAACAGCTATTTGGACTCTTCAGGTTCACACGGATTGTGTCATGGAACCAGAACTTTGGAAAGTTACTTTTTTGTATTGCTACTCTGAAACCCACAACCAGAATGGGCAAGCAATGACATACGGAAGCCAAGAAGTATTTTGCTCTTACTTCATTTATGTCATCAAAACATACCATTTATTTCATTTCATTTCATTTTTGGCACATCAAGTAATTTACATTTGTAGAAAAAGTAGGGTGCAGCTCTTATTGTTATGATACTGGCAAAACCAAGTCTCACCAACAATCCATTGCACTGCTTCAATCCGTACATTTGGTTTTTTTTTTTAAAGTGAACAATCTGGCATTCACTTTTATCAGTTAGTTGGAAGATGATATTGTCAATTCAATCCCTTTCATTATTTCTCAGATGATATTGTCAATTCAGTCCCTTTCATTATTTCTGACAGTAATTGTCAATTCAATCCCTTTCATTATTTCTGACAGTAATGGCAATTTATTAATTATAGTAATATTTTTTCAATAATTCTAAACCGTTTTATTCATAAACCTGTGTCACTTAATTGTTTGTTTGCTTCTTTTCTTTACTGCAGGCAGTATCTTCAGTGATGTCCAGCCGGGGAGAAAGTTCCAGTCCCGAGACAAGCACACTAAAATATTCCGGTCAGGAAGGGCTGTATCCAGGGGTCAGCTTGACCTCCACTGCAGAAGTCACAGCCTCTGTGAGACAGGATTCTTCCTGGTGTGCCTTGGCTCTGGCATGAATTGATGACAAATGGATGGTGCTGGATATTTGCACTGGGCAACAGCCAGCTACACTTGTGACATGTGTCATTGTTGTTATCAAGAACCCTGGAAGCAGTGACAATGTTGAGAGGATGTCCCTATCCAGTTGTATCTGTGCCTTGATTCTTGGTGTGTTTACTCCCCAGTGATCTCTGTTTGATTACCCAGGTCCTCAGCTATGCAAGAGAATCCAAACCATTTCTGCTAGCTCAATGAAGGAATGCCTGTCTGCAATATTGACAGATCTTCACCACAACTACCAGTACTGCCTTGGGCATTTGTGGATGGTATATTCACTTCACTCCCACTCGCCCAGCATCCACGATATGACTGGCATTGCCCTCAATCTGTCTCTCTTTCTCTCAATTCTCTCTTTGGTAGACAAAGTAGGTGAATCTTGCATTCTAAAGGATAGTGCAACACAGAAGAGCTAAACAATTGTGTGGTTTGTTCCAATGTGCCTATATTGAACCTGCTGGTTTTGATGTAAACTCCTCTCACAGGTCAATGTTCCAGCTAGTGCCTTCTGCGCACAACATGGCCATAATTCTAGATAGATGTTTTCCCCCCTGAAGCATACTTCCAATACAGCCGAATGAAGGAAACTGCATTTGGTACATTTTTGTTAAGTTAGAACTTCTTAATGAGAACTTGGTATAAAAGATTTGCATTGTTGTTTTGACATATACTGTGATGCAGGAGGATAGCATTTGTGTTTTGTGACTGAACTGTACCTAGTCAGTCAGGATTTGTAAACAGGGTAGCATTCAGATCTTTTTCCTTCCCCTTCCATATATACAATAATGTTGTTTTTATAAAAGTGCAATTTCTGTTGCAGCGATCAGTGTTAAATCATAAACATAAGATTTAACAACAGTTTTTATATGAATGAATGGAATGAATGTAAACCTTTTAACTTAATGGTACGTAAATAATTTAAAAGAAAAAAGTTAAGTAGGCATCTTGGTAGGGTTTTTCTATTGCAAACAAAAATGTTCTACTTCTGTGTTTCTGATTTTTCAAACAAAAATTTCAAGAACAAATGTTTTCTCAGGAAAAAAAAACACAATTGACCCTATGTGTATCTCTGGTCATAAGCTTTTATATATATATAATTAGACAGTCATCCCCACTATCTTGCCACTGAATAAAGTATGTACTAGAAAAGTATCCATTGCAGTGAAACTTTACTACCTGATGGATAAATATGTAAATAGTCCATTTACTGAGGCGGTCTTTTTAAAATATTGGATACAATCTGTATAATGTAACTAACCCGTAGTTAGGTTGGTTTACATTAAAACAATAAGAAAGGGATGTCATATGAACAGTTGTCTTCATCAGAGGTTTGGAAATAAAAGGATTATGTGTTCTTTCTGTACAAAGTGATTTCTCTTTGGTATATTTCAAAGTACAGCAGTAAAACTCTAGAATATTTACATAGTCACTGTCAAAGGAACCAAGTGGGTGTCAAGAGATTCAGACACAGAAATAATGTTAGTGCCCCTTCATGCATTGTGAAATGTCCCATATTGAAACTGTTATGCTATTATGCTGCATTTATAATATTTGTAAGGCATGTAATGGAATCTGCTCATTTAAGTGCCATCATTCTTTCTCATTGATAAGTTCAGGGGAAGCAACATTCCATCTATTGGCCAGCTATATGTCCGATAGAGGTTTCATAAAGCTTGTTATAATCTAGATCTTCACAGATAATTTTCTTTTTAGAGGAATTTTCTAGTGTTCATCATGAAGAGAAAGGTAAACCAGGATGTGGCACTACTGATTTTGAAAGACTGAAAAACCTAAAGGGTTGTACAAACAACTTCACATTTATTCTTACCTTCAAAATACTGGGTTTGCCTCTGCTGTACTAGGACTCCCAAAGTTCTAAATAATGTAACAGGAGAGGACTGTTCCCACAATCCAACTTATCTGGAATATTGATTTTCTAATACATGCACACCTTAAGGCACCTAAGAAAAAAAATTATATGACTTCTAAAACAGCATATCTAGGTAGGTACCCATTGTGTGTGTATTAATTACATGCTAATATGCTTTTTAAATAATTTAAATATCACAAATTAAATGTGGGCCTTCAGTATATTGTACATTTTAAAAGTTGCTTTTCTATCTATACACTCTAAAATCCACAGTTGGGCTACTGGGACTAGCCAAAATGTCATAAAATGGAATGTATGCTTTTTTTGTTTTCCAGAACCACCCATTGGCTTGGTGTACAAAAGCAGGGGATATAGAAAGGGTGGGAAATGTTCAGAAACTATACAGTATCTGAAGAACACCCAGTCTTTCTTTGCTGAAGTGTGTGTTAGTCTTTGCTCTGGAATCATAGGTATAAGTAGAACCACAGCAGCTAGAAGTGACTCATTCATTCAATCTGCATCATCCATCTTGTGCTGAAATGTTACAAGCAGGTCTCATGGCCACACCATCTAATTTTAAACTGTTTTTGTCCTCCACTTCCCCATGCTTTTCATATCACCTAGCATAATGAACAGTGCGGTACAATTCAATTGCTTGCATATTTTGCACCATTTTGGTTGGTCCTAATAAAGTTGTGAATTTCGGAAAGTTATTCTTCCATATATTTACCATTGTTCTGTACATCTATACTATTGATTCAGCCTGCAGTACAGTGGGGTCTTGACTTAAGAACGGCTTGAGTTAAGAACATTTTGACTTAAGAACCGCTCTCATAGGAAAATATTGACTTGACTTACATACTTAGATTTGAGTTAAGAACTGAAAAAAAACCACGTGGGAGGCAGGGAAAGTGCAAAATGTGAACTTTCAGTTAACTGTTGGCCAGTGAAAAGGGAGCCTGTCTGCTTCCTCACTCCTCCCAGCGTTTAGAGAGTGGATTGGGAGACAGTCTTCGGACTGCCTGGTACTGTCCTGCCTGGACTGTATATTCCCTGCCTTCCCTGAACCTTTCTTGACCTAAGAAAAAAAGAAACAAAATATCCCCCTCTAGTGGTTGAAGGCGGAATAGCAGCTTCCCATTAGTTTCTATGGACGGAAAAGAGCAGATACGGATCAAATGGTTTTCAATGCATTCCTATGGGAAATGCAGATTTGACCTGAGAACTTTTTGACTTGAGAACCGCCTTCCAATACGGATTAAGTTCTCAAGTCAAGACCCCACTGTAGTCTTATAGTTCCAATTGCAGTACAGTAATAAGGGAGAAGTGAAAATAGGCATTGAAACCCATACATGTAAGGAATTCTGTGACAGATACTGAAAAGTCTGGTCTTATGCTATTTCTAAATTAATACATTTGGGTTTCCCCAAGACTTCCCCCACATTTTCTTTTCTTTTTTTGTAATGAATTAAAAATATAAGAACATAACAATCAGTTTTATCCTGCCTTTCACAGAACTGACTCTGTGACAACAGGAATGGCTTTGGGAATTTTCCATGATGGGAACCTTTCCTAGCCCTAACTGGGGATGCTGGAGACTGAAGCTGGAACCACGTGAAGGCAACAATTATGGTCCTTTCCTTTTTCACTTTGCCACCTGGTTCTTGCTTTATGTTGGTCAGAGTCCTTGTAGCACATGAAACAATCTAGGATTCACTAGAATATCTTCCCCACCCCCAAAGTTTCTAACATCCATCCTGTTTTCACTTCTACCTTTCTACAACTATGTCTATGTCCTGGGTTGATCATGGAAATGTGAAGAGTTTTTGTCTCCTCTGGAGAATATTCTCTGGAAGGTGAAGAGTCTCCTCAAGCTACCAACACAGTCTTGGCAATGCATCACCTCAGATACACCCTAGACCTAAACCTCCAGTGTTGCTAAGCCCAAAAGGGTTGGAACAGCTGCCCAGTGAGGACAGACGGTACCAATGGTCTCTTGAACAACAGTGAGCCTTGTGCCCAGCAGTGTATATTCACCTCTGTGTTACATGTAATGAGCTACATTCCAGTGTATTCTTCAAGAATAATTTGCCTCATTTTCTACCATTCATGACAATAGGACCAACTAGACAGAAGTGTTAATAGATTTACTTGGTTCCTGATTTGCTAGCTGCGCATATCTGCAAACAACTCAGCCATGTTCAGGAAATAAGGCCTTCTAGGACAAGAACAACTGGTTCAAGAACTAGGGCAGGGCTTGGAGGTTGCCTTTTGCTCTCTCTCAAGGGCAAGATCAGAACAAGTAGCACCAATCATCTCTTCAGTGGTGAAGACAGACCTACTCTGCAAAATGTTCCATGTGCTTCATGGCTGAGTCTTCTGGCATTATCTTCTCCCTACTGCAACTTTTACTTGCACAAGCTTTCATGGATTACAGTCCACTTCATCATCATGCCTGGAGCCCACAAGTACAGTATATATGCCAGACACCACTAGTCACTCTTTAAGGTGCCACACAACTCTCAGTTGCTTTCACCACCCAGTTACCACTGCAAAATATTTGAAATGTGTCTCTTGATCTGCTTGCTTTTCAGATTTAACCCATGTGGTTTAACCATGTGGATGGAGGGATCTCTACAGAACTAAATGTGAGCTGGGTGAGCTGTTCATCATATGGAATGGGTTACTGCGAAGACAAAATGGGCTGCTTACCAGTGATGAGCGGGAGGGGAAAAATCAACATGCAGTTGGACGTCAGGTTATGTAGATGCAACATGTTTACTAGACCACATAGGGAAGAGGTTCCCTGGAAACATATCACCTGTAGTAACTCTAGAAAAGAAGGGAGGGAAATCAATTGAAGGAGGGGGAAATCATTTTCTCCATTCCAGCACACCAGATTTGGATATGCATGTCTATGCATGTGCACCTGCGTGCAATGATAATCTCAGTCACTTGGAGACTGAGTGCTGTGGTTTGACTCTGCAGTGGCTGATTAATTCATTCTGCTTCTTACCAGATGCACTTTTTGACCTAGACCAAAGGGCAAATATGTATGCTAGCAGGGAGTAATGAAAGGACTTCTGATAGAAGAGGCTGATGTCATGGAATGTTTTCTCTGTGACACACTTGTCTGCTGACAGTATGGAAAACAAAATTATTGAAACAGAAAGAGTTGGATCCAGATTTAGGTATCCGAAGAGCACAGCCATTGCTGTCAAGGAGAATTAAGTTTAATTGTACCCTGCCAGGTCAACTCTGACTTATGGAGACCCTTCTCAGGGTTTGCTAGGTAGAGAGTACTCAGAAGTGGTTTACCATTTCCTTCTTCTGGGGGTGACCTGAGACTGTGCAGTTTATCCAAGGCCACACAGGCTGGCTCTTCTGAGATGCACAGTGGAGAATTGAACTCCCAACCTCTGGCTCTGCAGCCAGATGCCTAACCCACTGAACTATCCATATTTAAGTCCATTTCAATTCATTTCAGTGGTTGTACAAATGGTTCAATTAAGGATGATTAAATCTGCATCCAACACATTACTTTTAAATGAAGCCAGTTTAAATATTAAGCTAAGATCTACAGGTGATTACCACCTAAACCCCTCTGTGTATGTCAATTCATTGTCAGTTGTGTACAAAATTTATAGGGTATTATTTACAAGTGGACATTTTTTATACTGAGTGAGTCTATTGGTTGATCCAGCCCAGTGCTGGCCATTCTAACCAGTATCAGCTCTTTGGGCCAGTCTTCCTCCACCTGGTACTCTCTTGCTTTGTGGCATTACATCATCCCTAACCTTCTGTATCCCTGTATAACCAAGAGATACAGAAGACATAGTTCAATACATCTGGAGAGCTTATGCTTGGGGGAAAGGTACAGTAGTGTCTCATAGGAACAAAGCAAGATATGTTCTGTGCCACACCATTGGACCATTTAGCGTAAGTCTGTCAACTCTTGACTAGCAAGGTCAAGAGTACCTAAGAAACACTTGGCATTATTGCTGTTCTCAACTCAATTACTAACCAGACCCAATCCTGTTTAGCTTCCAAAATCAAATGATATCAGCTGTGTTCAGGATGGAATGATGGTATATGGACCAAGGTTATTTTCCAGGCTTGCTGAATTTCAGCCCCTTTTGACTGACAGTAGCATGGATTGAATGTGAGACCTCTGTATGCAAAGCATGCATTGTTCTTCTGGATTAAAACAGAACCTGAACTTTTTTAAAAAATAGCGCTTTATTGCCAGTTTATTTATATAGGCCCACTGAAAATATATAAAAGAATAATGATGTGCTCTAGGTTAAAAAGAAATAAAATTCCTTTTCCAGCAGTAGGTTCAGGACAACCTCCACAAAGCCAGTTTCCTCTGGAGATTGATGTAATGTAATGACTTGTAACGACTTGTTTCATTATGTACACTGGCAAGGGATTCCATCAAGGCACAACAAGAGCAATGATCTTTCAAAGTATTTTCAGCTGAAACAGGGAAGGAAAACATTTGTCATGATTTTCTTCTTCTTCTGTGGAATTCCAGCTTCAAGAAGCCAAGGTTCTTTTTTTTTGGGGGGGGGGAATCATCCCTGTCTATGGAGTCCTTTCTGGAAAATGTCTCAAGAGTCAAAAGGTCAAGCAAATCTGTTCACGTTAAAACAGCAACAACACGGACAAAAACAACTTCCTGTCATGCCCCTTTCGTCTGTCTGTCTACATTTCTGGAGGAGGAAATGGTCTTTCTGTATGGGATCCTCGGCAATGACTAATCTATAGGGCATGACAAAAGGCCATGACACAAAGCAAAGGAAGAGACAGTATGAGGAAAGATCCCAGTCCCAAGATCCACAAAAACAGTCATACTTCCTTCTTCTTTCAACCCTACTTCATATGAGCCAACCAACCAATCATAGTTCACAACTGTGGAAGAAGACACAAGATGGTGATAACCAACTATAGGAAGAGTCTATACTCTTCCTTATCTCTTCCCCATAGAAGATGATCCACATGCAGAGTCAATTTATTTGCTGAGCCCTTGCTGAGATGGAATGTGTACAGCAAGTGACACTGTGTCTCTTATGTTTACATTGTTTGCAGCAGAGGATAAATGGAATTCTGCTGAAATAAAATAAATAAATATGTTTACATTGCTTGCAGCAGAGGATAAATGGAATTCTGCTGTATGGTACAGAACAGAACTTTAGAAGTATTTATTTGTTTATAATTTCTTGCCTTTAAGTCATGTTATTGATCTTAGCTTTTATATAACTCAACATCTGGAAAACTAACTATCTCCCTGGGTCAAGAAAGTCACTGACGATATAAAAGAAATGCAGTGTAATCCTGAATAGTCATCTACTGGTCTAGTTCAAGGAGTTGTTGTAAGGATGGTTGTGTGCAGAGAATTTGCTAATGGAGCTGACATGCATTTGGGCTAGATCAAAATAGCTGGCCAAAAGGTAGCTTTTCTGACTGCAGAAGAGAAATGTGTGGGGTGAGATTCCACAAGGAATAGATGACCAGGCCTAATTCATTCAATATTCTTTCAAAATCAATTATCTAGAGGAGGAAAGGAAGAATGTGTTGACGAAATTTGAAAATATCACCAGATGAAGAAAAATATAAAGAAGGATCAGGAAGCCACTATACAATGACTCAGCTGTGGAAATGAAAGGAAATTCGTGAGTATCAAGTATGAGGTAATATACCTGAGGACAAACCTAGGTGCACT